AGAAAAATTTAATACTTAAAGCGTGGTATAGTACTACGTTTTATGGAGTTGTCTTGTCGTTCTGAAAAAGATGAAAATCATGTGAAAAAAGCTACTTTCTTGCAGAAAAATTTAATACTTTAAGCATGGTATAGTACTGCGTTTTATGGAGTTGTCTTGTCATTCTGAAAAAGATGAAAACCATGTGAAAAAAGCTGCTTTCTTGCAGAAAAATTTAATACTTAAAGCGTGGTATAGTACTGCGTTTTATGGAGTTGTCTTGTCATTCTGAAAAAGATGAAAACCATGTGAAAAAAGTTGCTTTCTTGCAGAAAAATTTAATACTTAAAGCGTGGTATAGTACTGCATTTTATGGAGTTGTCTTGTCGTTCTGAAAAAGATGAAAACCATATCAAAAAAGCTATTTTCTTTATGTTTCCTTTGTGCAGTGATGGTTTTAGTTCTACTGTTTGTTTTTGTGTTAGGTTTGCAAGGTTTGTGTTTGTGTTGTACTATTTAAATAAAATTGTTGTTCAAACGCAATTAAAATAAAATTGTTGTTAAAAGATAATTGTTACCATTATTTACATAATGCACTATTTACACAAAGTAAAAACATAAGTAAATCAGTGAGTCTCGCAGCCTGTGTGCTTCAGTGCTGCTGCTGGCCTAAGTCGCATCCCCTGTCGCCCGGGTACACTATCTGGATCATCTTCATCAAGCCGCCTCTTTATGTGAGGATGTGCAGCAGCATCGACACCATAGCTGGCAGGATCGGAAGAATAGGGCGTCGGGCCGTCATCAACCTACAAAACAAGTAGTAATCTTAGCATGTGAAAAAGTATATTTGTATTGTACGTGTTGAGTCAAAAAATATTTTCTCACCGTGGTCTCGTCGGCCGCCTGAGTATATGCATTCGTGGAGTCTTCATCAAAGCATGTAGTGGCCTCAAAGATGGGCTGGGACGAAACCTTCATAAGAAAGTTAAAAATAATTAATGTCAACTCATTAAGGAAAAGAAAACAAATTGAAATTTTAAAGTAATACAAACATACCTGCGCCTGTGGTAGATCCGCATCAACCGCCGGGGATGAGGCATAACTCAACCTGCGCCCGCCATCCACATCCCGGGTGGGCCGATACTCAGCTGCGGTAGATGGGCATGCAAAGTACTGGTCTACATCCCCGTCGAATGTACCCGTGATCGACAATGCTTCTGACAGGGTGACCTGCGATACTGGCAGAGATAGCTGAAGGCTATACGACGGCATGCCGCTGGAAGGCTCATCTACCTGAGGTCCATAACCCGGCTGATCATCTCCAAAATCTCCATCATGTACCTCAACAGGTGGGCCAACAGGTGCCTCATAGCCCCCTTGCTGGGGACCACCTCCTCGCCGTCCCCCACGACCCCCGCGACCCCGTGGGGCACCCCTGCCTCGTGGGGCACCCATCCCTCGTGCCCTACCCCTGCCTCGTGGGACACCCCTACCCCGATCGGTAGTCCTCTGGCGCCATATACTGAGCCTCGTGGTCCAACCTCGCGGCATCTCTTGCCTGAAACAGGGTCCGACGAGCCACCTGTGCCACCCGCCGGTCATAGTCAACGAGTGCAGCATTGTCGGCATGCTGCTGCATCTCCTGTCCCAACTGGTAGAGGTGATGATGCCCAATAGCCTGTGAAAAATTTAAAATATTAATTAAATAATGCTATATCACAATTATAAGATATTAATAAGCCATAAAAACATACCAGTGCTTCGTGCCTCCCGACGTATGGTCTGTAGCGATCGCCAAGTACATGAATGGGGTTCCCAATCATCCGTCGGGTGTGACGGCGGTACCATGACGTATACAGATGAATAGTGGCCTCCTGGGTAAATGTAGGTGGTGGCGGAATACGGTGACCTCGCTCCTCCCAAATATGGACCTGCTGCTCTAGCCATCCCATATATATATCGTCCACCCTGGCACGGTCGTCCCGCTGATAGTGTGTAGCCACCCATCCAGGCTCCCCCGGTATAGGCTGGGGACGGTGAAACTGGCGAAGCACACGCTCTGTGGCATGATACTCAACCATATCGAAGAAGATCATCGGGGCGGAGGTGATCCAAAGCAGTCGGTCGACTGAGCAAATATCGGGCAGCTGAGCTAGCAACTCGTCGCTGTATGGCGTCCAGATGAACTACCAAATAATAACATAAAAGTGAGTATGCGCAACACAAACTCAATTTAAAACAAGCAAGTGTAGGTACATATTTACCTGTCTGTCCACCAGCATATCTAACACATCCCTGACAAGGGGGAGATTATGATGAGCATCGCTCCCTCGGTAGTTCCCACGCCGGAGAATCCACCTAGAAGCTAGTGGAAGAAACGGATAAGCCTCACCGGGCGCAAGTGGTGGTAGAGGTGGCTGCAACG